CCTGTCAACAATGCATGAATTTTTATTGCTGTACATCTTTTCTAACATTTTGTGTGGTCATATTTGTTGCTGTTTGGTTGCTGTAGGTAAAAATAATGAACTATTGTTTTGATTTGCATTTCTCTACTTATCAATGAAGTTGAGCACATATTTATATATATATAATATATTTTTTCACTTGATTTATATATATATATATATACACAAGGATATATATCCTCACTTGGTTTTTTATCACTCTCATTAATTTGTAGGAGCTTTTTATATATTCTGAATAATAATCACTATCAGTTATGCACGTTACAAATACACACTCCTACTATGTAACTTATCTTTTTCCTTTCTTTATGGTACCATTTGGTAATAGGAAGTATTAATGTAGTTGAAAATTATTGGTCTTTTCCTTTATAGTTCATATTTCTATCGAATTGTTTACAACTTTTTCTTACTTGAAGTGATAAAAATAGTCTCCAAAATTTTATTCAGAAGTATTAAAGTTGACTTTTCACATTAAGTCTTCATTTTATGTGTAAATTTATGGCAATGTAAAGAGGTCATGACAAATTTTATGTTTCTAACATAATTAAACAGAGGTTCCAGCACTATTTATTAAATAATACCCCTTTCTCCACAGACCTATTGTGCCAATTCTTTCCATCTTTCCCCCAATGATCTGCTGTCTCTGCTCTACTGTATGTCAAAATTCCATATTGCATCAGTCTGTTTCTTGACTTCCACTGGCTTGTTCACTTCCATTGGTGAACAATTTTATTATATTGCTTTATAATATGCCTTGATACAAAGTAGGAGAAGCCACACCATTTTAATCCTGTTTAAGCTACCACAAACATGATAGGGGCATTGATGTAAACAGGCTATGCCATTGCCACCAATGACCTGGACACAGCAGTTTTTCATTCGTGTTTATAATAATAGAGCAAGTAGCTGCAACAATAGAAAAAGAACATAATAATGAACAAGACAAGGAACAGTGAACTTCCAGGAGGTTTCTCAGAGTCTCCAGGATCTAGATCAATCTCCCAACACCACCAGTCCTCTTCTGATAGCAGAAAAGCCTCCCAATAGCATCTTTCATGTCCTTGTTTCTCAGGCTATAGATAATGGGGTTGAGGAAGGGAGCAAGGATAACAAAAGTGACAGCAGTTGCCGTGTCCCAAAACACTGAGTAGGTAGCTGAGAATCACAAATACAAAACAGCCACACTGCCAAAAAAACAGCAAGAGTTATAACTGAAGAGTAAAGTTACTGGTACCTAGATTTGAACTCAGATGATTAAGGTTCAATTTCTTCCCCTCTTTGTATTGCCTATGTGAATAGGAGCAAGCCATTAGCTCTTCTTAATTTCTCCACCCGCAAAATAGGAATAACTTTTGTTTTGCCAACCTCATACAAATTTTTTTTAATTGTGGTACAAAATACATAACATAACATTCACCATCCTTAACCATTTTTAAACATATAATTTGTTAAAGAATCAAATGAGATAATGTGTATTTAAAAACTTTGAAAAATATATTTACTATTATTGTTATATCAGCAGAAAGAATGGAAATCATTGCGAGAAATGAGCGAAAGGCTGAGAAGAGAGTAGTGTTTACTTAATGCGCATTCCAGAGAAGTATGATCCTAGCTGAAGTCTATTCTGACACCCACAGCTATTCTGGGCCCCAGTGCCCAGCTTTATACTCCCCTATGAGAGACAAGGTGATGTAGCTCCAGGACCCTGGGGAATGTCTAAACTACTATGCGACACTTTTCTCCTAATTTGTCCCTTGGAGAGGAGAGTGAGATGTACCATTTTCCTTTAGTTCCTGCATCATTCAAAGAGAAACTCCCAGGAAAGTTGAGCTTTCCATTCTGGATATTCCCTGACAAGACTATGGAGACATCTATATCCTCATCGACAAACTAGCAGAGGAGGCAAGTGGCTGCAGAGATTCTGAAGAGCATTCTTGTGGTCTCACTCAGTGTAAGTGCTGAAGACTGTTATCAAAAGGGCATCAGCTACTTGAGACTGCTAACCTGTCTTTTACTTTACTGTGCCTACCCAATGTTTTCTTTATATCCTCAACTCTTCAGAACCTAGATTTGCCCTTGTCTTTCAGGGTAAAATTTTCTCAATATATGGGGTAAAACCTCATGTTTTTAGAGCTTTATTATGTCAGTGAAAAAGTTAGAATAGTGACACCAGAAATCTAGAAAGGACATTGGAAAGAATATAGTTCAGCTAACAGATGAGGATACTGATAAGGTCTTTCCAATACTAAAATTTTGTTGGAGTCCAAAGAATTGTGGATTCCTAGGGAATTACAGAGAGAAACTTATTGCTTTTTATCCAGGACTAAAATCTAATTCAAGTCTCTTTTGACTATGGCTGAGCTCCTTGATCATTGTTGATTATCTGTCACCCCAGGAATTTTTTAAATGTCCTTTATGTATTTCAGAAGCAATAATAATGTTTTATTCAGCTTTGTATAGCCCTTTACCTACAGCAGTGATTGGCATATAGCAGAGGTTCGATCAATATCTGAGTGTTAATTGAATAAAACGTATGAATGAATGTTGAAGCCATCATTATGCAGCCTTATTAGTGAGAAGGGCCTCAAGCTCAGAGCAACAAAATGGAGATTCTATTTGCCTTTTATGAGCCACTTAGTGAATTTCTTGCCTTTTCTCATAGTCTCCTTCTTTGTCCATCTGTGTTCTCCATAATGACTACTTAGCATGCTATTCTCTGGTACTTTAGGATGAGAAAGAACAAGTAGAAAGTACAGACAAGTGGCTGCTTCTGTCAGAGAATGCCTCAGACCCCTCACACCCTTCCCCATGCAGGCTCTGCTCTTCTGCTAAGCACTGTTGCTTATTCCCTTCCAAAGCTCATTTCCCTTATCGTTTTTCCTCAAGGCTTGAGACATGAAACAGGAGGCATCCTCTATAAATTGATTCTCCTAGCCTGCAATGCATTTATTTTAATCTGCTTTTGACCTCCTGAGAAAAACCACATCAGCTCACACCCTCATGCTCAAGACAGTCCTACATATACAGGGACACAGACAAAATGACTGATGAGTCCTGACTTAAATTTCCCACTGTGGTATAAGAAATAATAGTGGACTTTTAAGACGTGCAGACAAGGTTTCCAGTGATTGTTTTGATCTTATCTATGTGAATTTGGACAAGTTATTTCTCCCCTTTGGTGCTCAATTTCTCTACCTATAAAGCAATAGTAATAATCTCTTTATCCTAGGAAAAAATAAATGAGACAAAACATGTAAAATGCCTAGTTCCACGATCATTACATGGGATCTCTTCAATAACACTGTTTCATTTCTCCTTTATGATTCCCTATGAGAAGCTTTCAGTCTGCTTGAGGGAGAAAATACTGACATGAAAACATTTAAAGGATGGGTTAGAAGTCATGAAGGAGGAAAATATAAAGCACGATGGGGAGTCAGAGGAGAGAGTGATTACTTCAGGTCATTGAAAATCAATGATAATGGGAACACTTACTGGACCTTGGCAGCTTAGATTATAATAGGAAGAGATCAGGAAAATGGAAGGAGGAAATGAGTAAGCAAAATAGAAATGCAGGAAATTGGTCCTACGCCTGAGCTGATGAGTATGTAGAAAAACATTTGGCTCTAAAATATGATTGGAAACAGATCAGAGAAAACAATGAGGATCAGGCTAAGATCTTTGGGCTTTGTCCTTGAATGTTCTTGAAAAGAAGGACAAGAAAAGCCATACTTAGGAATGTTTATCTGTAGAATGCCTCCGTAGAGGTAAGAAGAGCAGTGAAAAAGATGTTAAAATAGTAAAATGAACACTAATACATAGTCTATCACTAACTTTAATTACCCTTCAAAAAGTTCAGTTGTCCCTTCTCACCAACAAGGACAGGCTGGTCTGATTTCTACTGCAGCTGGTTTCTATGACACTTCCTTCCCAAGATAGCCATAATTATGATAGAAGTGATTTTTTATTCAGAATGATTTCCTTTCTTTGGCTATGTGACCTTCTTAGGAGGGATGGGATGAGTGGGGATGGAGTTAAAAGCTTGTTCAAAATTCAAAGGCCACTAACCAGGTGCAAGGTGGTTCTGGATAGACTTTTGGTCTGAGAAATTATCAACGTCAACCATTGAGAGAGGAGAAGGAGAAGGGTGAGTTAAAGACACAGCAGAGGGGGGCCGGCCCAGTGGCACAGTGGTTAAGTGAGCACGTTCTGCTTTGGCAGCCTTGGGTTCGCCAGTTCCGATCCCGGGTGAGGACATGGCACTGCTTGGCATGCCATGCTGTGGTAGGCATCCCACATATAACGTAGAGGAGCATGGGCATGGATGTTAGCTCAGGGCCAATGTTCCTTGGAAAAAAGAGGAGGATTGGCAGCAGTTAGCTCAGGGCTAATCTTCCTAAAAAAAAAAAAAAGACAAAGCAAAGATTGAAAGGAGGAATATTTCCTGATGTCCAGGTACTTATTGTTTCATGAGAAACAGACTTGTTACTATGAAACCAACAGAAAAAAAAGCAGAGAGATAAAGATGAATACGTTAGGCAGCCTCAAGTTAGATATCAGGGCTGGAAAAGATGGGGAAAAAACATGAAGAATTTTTGGGAGAAGGGCTCCTGATAATGTATTTACATTTTTTCAAAAAATTACTTTTCTGCAGAACAGGAATGGAGAATAGTTGGAAAGAAAGTTACAAAGTTTTAAAGTTAAACACAGAGGGCGGATATGAGGAGGATAAAGACTCAAAAATTAAAGAAGTAAATGAACTTCCAGAAAATATTTCCAGAGACTTAAATTTACGTGTTGCTTTGTGTTTTCTTTGAATCAATTAGAGATGTTTACAAAAAGGTCAGTTAGGGGTCAAAGCCAATATTTCAATGTTGTAGGTACAGCTGAGAGATGTTTCAAACTGGCCTGTTTAGAATCCCAGAGTCAGCTTAAGTAACTGATTACAGAAAGGAGGGAAGCAATTTTCAATGGGCAATCACCATCCCAATTCCAGGAGTTTCTTTGTGTCCTTTCTTCTCCTCACAGATGACACAGTTGATGACCAGTGAAAATCAGACAATGTTGACTGAGTTCCTCTTCTCTGTGTTTCCACATCTGCATGAAGGTGGCCTTTTATTCTTTATTCCCTTGCTTCTTATCTATGGGTTTATCATAACTGGGAACCTAATGATATTCATTGTCATCCAGCTGGACACGGCTCTGCGCACCCCCATGTATTTCTTCATCAGTGTTCTCTCTTTCCTGGAGATCTGGTATACCACAACTACCATCCCCAAGATGCTCTCCAGCCTAGTGAGTGAGCAGAAGACCATCTCTCTGGCTGGCTGCCTCATGCAGATGTACTTCTTCCATTCTCTTGGTATCACAGAAGGCTGTGTCCTGACAGCAATGGCCATTGACAGGTACATAGCGATCTGTAATCCTCTCCATTACCCAATTATCATGACTCCCAAATTTTGCATCCTGCTGACAGCTGGATCCTGTCTCTGTGGCTTCTTCCTGGTGCTCCCTGAGATCGCATGGATGGCCATCCTGCCTTTCTGCGGCTCCAATGAGATTCATCAGATCTTCTGTGACTTCACACCTGTGCTGAGCTTGGCCTGCACAGACACATCCCTGGTGGTCATTGTGGATGCCATCCATGCAGTGGAGATCCTAGCCTCTTTCCTGGTCATCTCCCTATCCTACATCCGGATCATCATGGTGATTCTGAGGATGCCCTCAGCCGAGAGCCGTCATAAAGCCTTTTCCACCTGTGCTGCCCACCTTGCTGTGTTCTTGCTGTTTTTTGGTAGTGTGGCTGTCATGTATTTGCGATTCTCAGCTACCTACTCAGTGTTTTGGGACACGGCAACTGCTGTCACTTTTGTTATCCTTGCTCCCTTCCTCAACCCCATTATCTATAGCCTGAGAAACAAGGACATGAAAGATGCTATTGGGAGGCTTTTCTGCTGTCAGAAGAGGGCTGGTGGGGTTGGGAGATTGATCTAGATCCTAGAGACTCTGAGAAACCTCCTGGAAGTTCACTGTTCCTTGTCTTGTTCATTATTATGTTCTTTTTCTATTGCTGCAGCTACTTGTTCTATTATTATAAACAAGAATGAAAAACTGCTGTGTCCAGGTCATTGGTGGCAATGGCATGGCCTGTTTACATTAACGCCCCTACCATGTTTGTGGTAGCTTAAACAGGACACATGGATTATCCTGCTTTGTAGCTCAGGTTGTCTCCTTCCTCACACTCTACCAGCTGGGATCCTGCCCTTCTCTTCTGTGGCCTCACATGCTGGTGAGGCCAGAAAGCAGGATAGAAGAGAGATGAAAGACATCATAGTTCTGAAAATTGCTACTGTTAACTTCCCCCAATCCTCTTTCCTGTAATGAATCTCCCTGTTATTCAACATCCCACATTAATAAACAATTTCCTGACATTAGTCAGAAGGCTTCTCTATATTTAGCTTATTTAATCTACAAATTCGATTCAACAGTAATGGACTGATCATGCACACTATGTGTTATAGAATTTTAGGCCCTATTGAGAGAGATAAAAATTAACATCAATAATAGTCCACTATATTTCTCTAGCAGTTTAATATTTGAAATGTTTTCACATATATGAAACCTCTTGAAATTTAAAATATTCTGAAGTAGTTAGGTCAGGCATTATCATTATTTAAATGTTGGAACTCAAAGCTCAAAGAAGTTTAATGACTTGCCTAAGGTTATGTAGTTAGTGGCAGAGCTAAGACTTATTCTCTGGCCCAAATAAATACAAACTTTTGTTCAATCTAGTTGGTATTCAAGGAGTGAAATTATATAAACTTCTTTTCCCAAAAGTTTTATGAAACCTTAAAAGTTTTCAATCAGTCGCAGGAGCCATTGGTTCTTTCCTCTGCCACTTTCCCAGGCTTCAGGTGATTGTGGCATCACAGAAAGACTACTGGACTATGGGGTTCAAGGATGAGATTTTATATCTTTTTATGCCACTAACTTGTGCCATTTCCTTGTCTATAAAGTTACGTGGTTGGATTAAATCAGTGGTTCCCCAAACCGATCATCAGAAGTTACTATTCAGAAAATCTGAAAGTGAAGCCCATGCATTTGCAATCTGAAAAGCACCCAAGAAAATTCTGATCATATGTCAGATTTGGAAACAATTGAAAACAACTGGATTAGGTCATCACTAAGATCATTTCTAACCTGAGCGCTCTTTAGTATTCATAAGAGCTAAGATGTTTAACAATGTTTGAGCTTATGGTAAGGACCTTGCATACATTGTCTCATTTATCCTCACAACAATCCTGTGAAATAAATGTTAACTCATTTTTTTTCCAAATGAGAAATATGAAACACAGCATTTCAATAATTAGTCCAACTCCACAGAGCTAAGTATTAGGAATCCAGGACAGAAACTTAATTCTATCTGATCTGAGAGCCAGGTCCTTATTCACCATGATCTTGTGCCCACTTTACATAGCGTTCTTCCTAGACCAATTACTAAACCTAAGAGGAGTTCCAAACGAAATGTGGTATTCAGTGAGTAAATGTGATTACTAGCTGTTATACAAAAAGTGGTGAAAGGATTTATTCCTCCATATTTCAAGGCTTATTTATTAAAAAATAACGTTTGAGTAGCAATTCTATGTTAGGTACTCTGTTAGGTGCAGAGAATTCACATTGCAACTATTATACCAGTGGTCTTGGCTTTTGGAGGCCTCAGAGACTAATAAGTCATTATTCCTGCTATTAATAAGAATGCCATTATCCATCAAATTCAGCGTTTTTCTTGGCATAAGATTCCATAGTCCTTATAGACTCGTTTCCAGTCATTTAGCTATTTTATTTCCTCTAAACCTTCCAAAATTTAGTATTTGTGTTTCAAACCTCTTTGAATAAGTACCCTAGCAGACATCCAGTTATCTGTGCACCTGGTGTGAGAACTGCTCCTCAGCATATCAGAAAAAAGATAATTCCCCCTCCGCTTGAGCATTTAACCAAGGCGATCTCCTACAAAGTTAGCTAGTGCTAATTGTCAGGTAGCTTCTCTTTATTAGTGTAAACTTAAGGTGGTCACTAAGACCGAGAACTTTGATATTATATTATCTAAACATGAATCGTGAGTTTTCCACTTTCCAGCTGCACAAACTTGGAGAACTAACATAAGTGTCCTGAGCCTCAGTGTCCCTTTCTATAATATAGAATCTTTTGGGATTTTGAAGAGTAAATGCTATCATATGTATAAAATTCTGAGCCCAGTGTCTATAATGCTTATCAAATATTAGTTATTATTAATCAATATTTTTGTTACTTTTATTATTGTTCCGAGCTGAAAATTAATTCCTGGGCCCTCATGTTGTAAAACTCCAGGGAGTGCCATTCAATCTTTAGTTTTTTCTTTCTGGAATCCCAGTAATAAATGCTGAGTTACCCAAATTCTACACAATAAGTTATACATGGCCAAGAAATAAAATTGTTGTATCAACTTTTGACACAAACAAAAGAACACCTTACCAGTGTACACATAGACAGCAGAGTCTTATTTAGGATATAATACTGTTTCCCCATGTTGGACATTTACTCTTTCATAAGGCACAGTTCTTTTTATTTTGGAACTCGAAAATGATCACTCTTGTAGCTAAACCCTTTAGCAAAAGAGTCAGACACTCTCAGAGTGTGAGATTAAATAGTACTTCTCTAAAGAGACTGGGATAGGAGACCCTCAATCTCACAGTTTAAATTTCATTTCTCTCAAATAGCGGTTGAAATCTCAAGACCAAAGCACCAAGTCTGAATAAGACACGTATATCAGCCGTGCACAACTCCGGTGATATCCCTAAATTGAATACATATGTTTCCTTTAAAAAATAAATGTTTTATTGTTTACTTTGCTATTCTAGGTGACCTTACATGTATCTTATATCTTTGTACTAATCAACTCCCATGCTAGATAAAGTAAAATAATCAAGGAGATAAATTTTATTTTTGATGCATACCTCTCCTTTTAATAATCTTCTCCCAACCCATCCCTTTCCTATGTTCAGAGAAATTAGTCAGTAAGACATCTATATTTTAAAATAGAATTTCCTTAAAAATTCTATCAAGTTTATAAATGCTGCATGTGTAATGGAAATATATAATTTCTCTATATGTTTGGTATATAGAAGATATATATATATAAAATACTTTACATAATATATAGCACATGTTATATATATATAAAACAAGCTTTTATTATATATACAATATGATATGTAAATAAATATATATATATCTAAAAAATTAGGCTTATGTTTGACTTTTCCAGAACTTTGCTCATTTATTTGCTTGTCATAATCATTTACATTTCTTTCAGAGATATGTTAAAATGTGTTAATTCATTCCAATATTTTTGTCACTTTTTCTTTTACATGCTTTGAAGCTGTGTTGTTCGATATAACTGAAGTGAGAATGCTGTGTCTTTGGTGAAATTTTTCTTACAATACTTTAAAGTTTCTCTCTGCATTGCTGATAATGCTTCTTTGTCATAAATTCTATTTTGTTTCTTACTAATATTGCTACACAAATCTTTTCTCTATTTTTCTTCCCATACTTTGTCTCTGTGTGTCTGTATGTTTAGATATATATATCTTATAAGTGGCATATAGTTTGATGTAAAAGATCTAATATGATAATCTTTGTATTATAATAGGTGCACTTAATCCATTTACATATTTTGTGATTTAAATCTATTTGAAAGTATTTCTACCAAAATACTGTGTGTCCTGTTTTTTCATTCTTTCCTCTCTAGATTTTTTCTTCTTCCTTTCTGTCTCTAATTGAATTGACGCAATTTTCTATATTTTTCCCTAGAAACTTTTGTCTCTGCTAATTTGGAAACATAGATAATAATTCTCTTTTTAGTGACTACTCTTTTTCTTTAGCTTTTTTAAAAAGTGTTTTGTTACACAATATTTTAAATTATTCATGGAGTAAATAGTAAATCCATATGTCTCAAATTTTAATAATATATAATATTTTGCCATTATTACTTCATCTCTTTTTTAAAAACATTTTTAAGTAAATCTCAAAGATCTTTACATTTCACCCTAAATGCATTTTTTCCACTAACCGTAATACCATTCTCACACTCTAAAAACTCAGCAATAAGTCTTCCATATCACCTAATACTTAGTCCACAGTTAAACGTCCTCAGTTTCCCCCAAACTGAATGTGTTTTCACAGTTGACTTGACTCAAGATTCATGTGAGTTTTGGTTATTATGTCTTTTAAATCCATTTTTAATTTAGAATAGTCCTCCCCATTTGCTTGATCGCCCCCACCCCCCTTCCCTCCTTTCTTCTTTCTCTCTCTCTCTCTTTCAGTCCCTCTCCCTATTTATCTAGTCCGTTTAGTTCCCAGGTCAGAACTAAATCTAAAAACAGTCTTCAAAGGCTTTTGCCCTATGGAGACATCTAGAATAAAGTAGATCCAGCCAACAAGCCAGTGGACAGGTTGACTGGGTTCTGGTGAGACTGTGTCCATCCACCTCTTAAACTCACAGTTTCCTATAAAAATCCAGACCGTTTACTGCAGCAGTTTTTAAAGCAAGTATTCATAAGAAGATTTGCCTACCTTCATCCTCACTTTTTTTGCGGGGAGTGGGGAGGTGAGGAAGATTGGCCCTAAGCTAACATCTGTTGCCAATCTTCCTCTTTTTGCTTGAGGAAGATTGGCCCTGAGCTAACATCTGTGCCAATCTTCCACTATTTTGTATATGGGTCATGGCCACAGCATAGCTTGATGAGTGGTGTAGGTCTGTGCCCAGGATCTGAACCCATGAACCCAGGCCACCAAAGTGGAGCATGCCAAACCTAACCACTATGCCACCAGGGCCAGCCCCTCAACCCTACTTTTTAAGACAGCTTTATTGAGATATAATTTACATACTATGCAATTCACCCATTTAAAGTATACAATTGAATGGTTTTTAATATATTCACAGATATTGTACAGCC